CCGGGTTCTATTTGGAATGGTAGACTCAAAGAGCAAAAGGAGATGGCCATTAGTATATCAATCATAGAAGCCACATTCCTCACCTGCGAAAGTGAAGAATGTGGCTCCAATGTCTTATAAGTTTCCTTTAAATCCTAACATCCTACAGTCTTCCTGCCTGCTCATGGTCCTGTTTATGAATGGGACTCAGTGGCCACATGTTGGTGGTCAAACCAGCAAGACTTTGCCAGGCTTGCAAAACAAGATATTGGGCACAATTTGGGTGCATCTTGTAACTGCAGTTCATTGTGCTGAGTAAAAATATTGCATACAGCTGGGGATACAACCATAGGAAAAAGCCACAAAATGTTCCACTTACCAAGGACATTACACTCCTCAGATGTGCATAACCCCAGGGCCTTATATTTACAGCATGGTTCTTATTATGGAATGGAATGGAATAGCTGGATGCTTTGGTTCTTTGGAAAAGTATTTGCCTTAACCCACTCATGACATCGACATTTTCTAGCTCAGAGATTTATGAGCCATTATTGAAGATTGCTCATGGGTTATTATGGAAGAACATTCTATCTCTTTGACAACCAAGCATGTTGCCTGGCAACAGTTTCCTTGTTGATTTCATATCTCCTCTTATCATTGTTTGTATAACTTCAGCAAATCTATCCCTATTTTGTTCCCTCCTACACAGAATAAAGTCCCTTTATGTTCCTGAATGACCAGGCAGCAGAAATAGAGTGATAGATCATCAGGGTTTATTATAAGATAAGGGGCTGGGTGTTTCACTGTTATAATTGCATCTCAACTTTGGTTTACATTTGAAGTATTATGGGACAAATTACTGTTGAATTTAAAAAAATACAACCTGTAAGGCCTACAGAGCACGTGGTTATATGGGGAGAAAGCACAGGTGAAAAACTTCAGATTCACATTCATATGCTGTAAAGAATTTGGTCAGAATCGGGTTTTCCTGGAGAGCAGGAAGAGTGTGGTACTTTGAACACAAAGCAACAAGGCATGTTTCCTTTTTTAAGTTGTAAGAATGGTGGAAGATTCTTAAATAGTTGTAATTCAAACGTGGAAAACACTTAGCACTTACTGTACTTGAAACCAGGCTGGTGTAAGCCAAGTAGAAACGTTGATAGCCTACAGCTGTTCCTTGAGGATTCCAGCTCCTCTGACTCCAGATTGCTTATCCCCTGATTAATGCCTGAAATTCCATGACTAAGCTACATCCTGTTACCTTAAAAATTTAAGTCCTCTTTAAAATAAAAATCCTTACTAAAGGAATAATAGTCTTTAGCTACTACCATTTACATCTTAGTGAAGATCAGTCCTTTATATCTTTGTTGGATTGAGGACCTGAGAACAATATATGAGTGGGAGAGAGAGCTTGGGAACACTGGGCTCTGAGTAAAATGAAAGGACAATGGACCTGAATCACAGACTTCAAAGAAACATTGGCCTGGGGTTGGTCCTGACTATGGTGCCCTTGTCCAGTGACTTACATAAATACCTGAATGTACAGATACCAGACAAGTACAGGCTTATTCCGATTCCTCCTTCTTCCTCACCAACTCTCCCACCTTGACTCGCCACAGAGTTGTAAAGAATTATAGATTTCCCCCCAAAACCCATTTCTGTTTATGCACATAACAGAAAATAAAAATACATTGAACAATAATAAACTATTGTAGTTAGAGGTTGTAATAGAATAAGTATGCAGAAAATCAGTAAAGATACAGAAGACTTGAATAACACTATGAGCCAAATTGACCTAGTTGACATTTATAGAACACTCCATTCAACAACAGCAGAATATACATCCTTTTCAAGACACAGGACACATCGATCAAGATAGACCATATCTGGAGCCATAAAACAAGGCTCAATATATTTAAAATGATATAAATCATATAAAGTTTTTTTCTGACCACGACAGAATTAAATTAGAAGTCAATAACAAAAAGATATGTGGGAAAATCTCTAAATATTTAGAAATTAAACAGTGCACTTGAAAGTAACCCATGTGTTAGAACAAAAATAAAAAGAGAAATAAAAAAGTATGTTGAACTGCATTTCATTTTGAAACGGAAAAAAATGATGTATTAAAATTTATGGTATGCAACCAAAGTGCTTAGAGGGATGTTAATAGCATCAAATGCCTATAATAGAAAAGAAAGATCTCAGATTGATGACCTAAGCTTCCATCCTAAGAAACAAGAAAAAGAAAAACAAAATAAACCCAAAGTAAGCAGAAGAAAAGCAATACAAGAGCTGCAGTCAATCAAACAGAAAATAGAAACAAAAATAGAGGAGGGGTGCCTGGGTGGCTCAGTCAGTTGAGCATCTGCCTTTGGCTCAGGTCATGATCCCAGGGTCCTGGGATTGAGCCCCGTGTCAGGCTCCCTGCTCAGCCCCCTGCTTGTGCTCTTTCTCACTTTCTTTCTCAAGTAAAATAAAATAAAAATCTTAAAAAAATAGAGGAAATCAATAGAGCTAAAAGATAACTCTCTGAGAATATAAATAAAATTGGTAAATCTCTAGCCAGGCTGATCAGAAAAAAAAGAGAAAAGATGCAGATTATAAATACCAATAATGAGCAGAAGACATCACAACAAGCTCTACAAATAATAAGGAAATACGAAAAATATTGTATTAAAACATTCAATCACTTTGATGAGATGAATAATTTATTGAAATTTTAAAACTACCAAAGCTCATCAGTAACAAACTGATAACTCTACTACACTGTGTCAATGAAAGGAATTGAATTTGTAGCTCAATACTCTATCCCCAGATGGCTTTCATTGCTGAATTCCATCAAACAATTATGGAATAAAAAACACTAATTATATACAAACTGCCCCAGAAAATTAGAAAGAATAAAACACTTCCCACTAGTTCTATGGGACCAGAATTACTTTGATATTAAAATCAGAAAAGAAATTCCAAGAAAAGAAAATTAGACAAAGATATCCCTCATGATGTAGATGCAAAAATGATTCATCAGATTTTAGCAAATCAAATCCAGTAATATATTAAAAAGATAATATATCATAATCAAGTGGGGTTTATCCCAAAAATGTAAGGTTGGTTTAACATTCAAAAATTGATCAATGCAGGGCGCCTGGATGGCTCAGTCGTTAAGCGTCTGCCTTTGGCTCATGTCATGATTCCAGGGTCCTGGGATTGAGTCCCACATCAGGCTCCCTGCTCAGCGGGAAGCCTGCTTCTCCCTCTTCCACTTCCCCTGCTTGTGTTCCTGCTCTCTCTGTCTCTCTCTGTCAAATAAATAAATAAAATGTTTTAAAAAAATTGATCAATGCACAATAAAAAAACAATGTAATTCAGCATATTATCAGATTAAAAACAAAATACTATGTTCATGATCATCTCAGTAGATACACAAAAAGCATTTAAAAATTAAATATCTATTCATAATAACACACAACTCTCAGAAAAATAGAAATGGAAGAAAACATCTTCAACTTGATAAAGGGCATCTACAAAAAACAAAAACAAAAACCCGTACAGGTAATATGAAATGAAAGATAATAATAATGAAAGAGTGAATGCTTTCACCCTAACATTGAGAATAAGACGAGGATGCCTGTTTGTAATCACTTCTATTCAACATTTTACTGGAGGTTTTAACCCATGCAATAAAGTCAGAAAAAGGAATGAAGGCATCAAAATTGGACATAAAAGATGAAAATTGTCTTTATAGACAATATAACCATCTATGTAGAAAAAACTAAGGAGTATGCAAAAGCTACTTGGAACTAATACTTAGCAAAATTTCAGGGTACAAGGGCAATACACAAAAATCAATTGCATTTCTATATATTCACAACTGAACAATCAAAAATAGAAAATTTTTAAAATACCACTTATAATAACCAATACAAATTACTTATGGATAAATTTGACAAAATATGTGTGAGATCTGTATACTGAAAACTACAAAACACAGCTCAAAGAAACTAAAGAAAACCAAAATAAATGGGGAGACCTACTGTGCTTATGGATCAGAAGATTCGCTATTATTAATATGTCAGTTCTCCCCAAATTGATGTATTGATTCAATACAATCCCAATAAAAACCCCAGCAGGTTTCCTTGTTTGAAAAGCTAGCCAAGATTTATATTGAGATGCAAAGGACCTAAAATAGCCAAAATAACTTTGAAAAAGAAGTACAAAGTTGGAGAATTTAAACTACCTTATTTTAAGACATGAATAAAGCTCTAGTAATAATCAAGAAAGTGTAGTATTGAGATCAAGGAAGAAAAAATACATATTTATATCATATATATATCTTCCCTGTATATATGTATTTAATACATTTAAATAAATAATGTTATATGATAGGTATCATGTCTCTACATTATACACATATATGAAACAGAATTGAGTCTAAAAATAGACACACACACATATGATCAATTGATTTTCAATAAATGTGCCAAGGCATTTCATGGGAAAAGTACAATCTCTTCAGCAAATTGTGCTGGAACAATTTGACAGTAATATTAAAAAATATGAATCTCAACACTTCTTTCTTATATATAGTTTTTCAGCTTTATTGACATGTAATTGAACATAACATTGTGTTAAAGTATACAATGTGTTGATCTGATACACTTACATATTGTAAGTGATCTGATACACTTACATATGATTACCACAGGAGGATTAGTTAACATCTCCATCACATCACATAATTACCATTTCTTTTTTGTGGTGAGAACATTTGAGATCTGCCTTAGCAATTTTCAAGTATATCATACAGAATTAACTGTAATCACCATGTTGTTCATTTGATCCCCCCAAATTATTTATAACTAAAGGTGTGTACCCCTTAAATAGCATTTCCCATTTTCCCCACCCCCCAGGTCCTGGTAAGAACCACTCTTCTTTCTGTTTCTATGAGTTGAGCTTTTTAGATTCTACATGAAAGTGATATCATACAGTACTTGTCTTTCTCTGTCTGACTTATTTCACTTAGACTATTGTCCTCAAATTCAGTTCATGTTGTCTCAAATGGCAGGATGTCTTCTTTCTCATGGCTGAATAATATTCTTATATGTGTGTGTGTGTGTGTGTGTGTGTGTGTGTGTGTGTATCCATTCATCTTTTGACTGACACTTAGGTCATTTCCATATCTTGGCTATTGTGAATAATGCTACAGTAAACATGGGAGTGCAGTTATCTCTTCAAGATCTTGTTTTCACTTCTGTTGGATATATACTAAGAAGTGGGATTGCTGGATCAAATATTTTTAATTTTTAAAGGAAACTCCATACTGTTTTTTCATAGTGACTGCATCATTTTGGATTCCCACCAACAGTGCACAAGTGTTCCTTTTTCTCCACATCCTTACCAACACTTGTTATCTCTTGTCTTTTTGATGACAGCCACTCTAACAGGTGTGAGGTGATTATCTTGTGTTTTTTTTTTAAGATTTTATTTATTTATTTGACAGAGAGAGAGAGAGTGAGAGAGAGAATACAAGCAGGGGCAGAGGGAGAAACAGACTCCCCACTGAGCAGGGACCCCCCCCCCCCCATACAGGACTTGATCCCAAGACTCCAGGATCATGACCTGAGGCAAAGGCAGACACTTAACGACTGAGCCACCCAGGCGTCCCGATTATTTCCCTGATGATTTGCATTTCCCTGATGATTAAGTGATGTAGAGCACCTTTTCATGTACCTATTTGGCCATTTATATATATATATTTTTGAAAAATGTCTGCTCAGTTTCCCTACCCATTTTTATGTTAGATTGTATTTTGGTATTGAATTATTTGAGTTTTTAAATATATTTTGGATATTAACCCTTTATCAGATATATGATTTTTCAAACATTTTCTCTCATTCCCTAGGTTGCCTTTCCATTTTGTTGTTTCTTTTTCTGTACAGACTTTTTACTTCTTTGTAGTCCTACTTACTTATTTTTGCTTTTGTTGCTTGTGCTTTGGTATCATACCCAGGAAATCACTGCAAAAACCAATGTCAAGGAGATTTTCCCCTATGTTTTCTTCTATGAGTTTTATGGTTTCAGGTCTTATATTTAAGTGTTTAAACCATTTTGAGTTGATTTTTGTGAGTGGTGTAAGATAGGGGTCCAATTTCATTCTTTTGCATGTGGTTACCCAGTTTTCCCAGTACTATTTATTGAAGAGACTAACCTTTCTCCATTGAGTATTCCTGGCTCTCTTGTCAAATATTAGTTGACTGTATATGCAAGAGTTTGTTTCTGGGCTTTTGATTCTACTTCATTGGTCTATATGTCTGTTTTTATGCCAGTACCATACTGTTTTGATTATTACAGTTTTGTAGTATATTTTGACATCAGGAAGTGTGATATGTCCAGATTTGTTCTTATTTGTCAGGACTACTTTAGCAATTCAGAGCCTTTTGTGGTTCCACACGTATTTTTTTTTTCTTCTATTTCTGTGAAATATGCCATTGGAATATTGAATTTTGATTGATCCAATGATTGAATCTATGGATGGCTTTGGCTATTATGACCATTTAACAATATAAATTCTTCTGATCCATGAACATGGATATCTTTCCATTTGTTTATGTTTTCTTCAATTTTTTTCATCAAAGTCCTGTAATTTTCAGTGTATAGATTTTTCACCTCCTTGGTTAAATTTATTCCTAAGTATTTTATTGTTTTTGATGCCATCGTGAATGGGATTGTTTTCTTTATTTCTTTTTCAGATATTTTGTTGTTAGTGAATAGGAATGCAACTGGTTTTTGTATGTTGATTTTTTTAAATTTTTATTTATTTATTTGAAGGGGAGAGAGAGATAGCGAGAGAAAGAGAGCACAAGCAGGGGGAGAAGCAGACTCCCCGCTAAGCAAGGAGCCAGATGTGGGGCTCAATCCCAGGACTCTGGGATCACCACCGGAGCTGAAGGCAGCTGCTTAACCGATTGAGCCACCCAGGCTCCCCTGTTGATTCTTTATAACTTTACTGTAGTCATTGATTAGTTCTAACAGTTTTTTAGTTGAGTCTTTAGGATTTTCTCTATATAAGATCATATCACCTGCAGACAAAGAAAATTTTCCTTCTTCCTTTATGATTTGAATGGATTTTTTTTTTCTTGTCTGGTAGCTCTGTCTAGGACTTCCAGTAATATGTTGAATTGGAAGAGCTGAGAGTGGGCACCCTGTCTTGTTCCTGATCTTAGAGGAAGATATTTCAACCTTTCACCTTTAGAGTGATGTTAGCTATGGGTTTGTCATACACAGTGTTTATTATGTTGAAGTGTGTTCCTTCTATATCCAATTTATTGAGTGACTTTATTATGAAAGGATGTTGTATTTTGTGAAATGCTTTTTTTCATCTATTGAGATGATCATATGATTTTTACCTTTGATTCTATTAATGTGCTATATCACGTTTATTGATTTGCAGATGTTGGTTCCTCCTTTCATTCCAGAGGTAAGACCTACTTGATTGTTGTGTATGATCCTTTTAATATGCTCTTGAATTTGGTTTGCTAATATTTTGTTGGGAATATTCGCATCTATGTTCACCAGAGATATTGGTCTGTAGTTCTCTTTTCTATAATTTTTTTAAAAGATTTTATTTATTTATTTGATAGAGACACAGCGAGAGAGGGAACATAAGCAGGGGGAGTGGGAGAGGGAGAAGCGGTCTTCCCGCTGAGCAGGGAGCCCGGTGTGGGGCTTGATCCCAGGACCCTAGGATCATGACCCGAGCCGAAGGCAGACACTTAACGACTGAGCGACCCAGGCGCCCCATCTTTTCTATAATTTTTTAGAAAGATTTTATTTATTTATTTATTTGACAGAGAGAGAGAGACAGAGAGATTGAGAACAGCAAGAAGAGGGGCAGCGGGAGAGGGAGAAGCAAGCTCCCTCCTCAGCAGAGAGCCAGACATTGGGCTTGATCCCAGGACGCTGGGATCATGACCTGAGCCCTAAGGCAGATGCTTAAGTGATTGAGCCACCCAGGTACCCCTGTAGTTCCCTTTTCTTAGAGTGTTCTTATCAGGCTTTGGTATTAGGGTAATGCTTGCTTCATAAAATGAGCTTGGGAGTGTCTCCTCTTCAATGTTTTGGAAGAGTTTGAGAAGAATTGGCATTAATTCTTTAAATATTTGCTAGAACTCAGCAGTGAAAACTTCCAGTCTCATCTGTGGGTGATTGGTCTAAGACAGTGTTTTCCAGGGGTTCCTGGACCATGGCCAAGAGGGGCTGGAACTGGTTCCTGGGCCATTTCAGGGTCAGCAGTAGGAACCAAGGTCTTGCTGCCTATTACTTAACTGACAGGTGGGTGGGACTTTTCCTGGGTCCCTTGAGTATGGTCATGGATCCCTAAGCTCCTACAAAGCCACTTTTGTTTGTGGATAGATGCTGATTTTTTTGTTGTTGAGAGGGGAACAAAATGAGGGTCGGCTTATGCTGCCATGATGCTTATGTCACTCCTCTCATATGTAATTTTAATGTGCAAAAATTAACTACAAACAGAAACATAGACCCAAATGTAAGAGCTAAAAAGAAAATAACATCTAGAGTAAGACATAGGAGAAAATCTTAGTGACATTGGGTTTGGTAAAGGTATCTTTAAAAATACATAAAAAGATCAAAGTATAAAAGAAAAAAATCAATATATTGGATCTTATCAAAACAAAACAAAACAGAAAAACCTTGCTTTTCAAAAACAAACCATAGACCAGGAGAAAATATCTGTAAGACACATATTTGACAAAAGACATTATCTAGAATATATAAAGAATACTTAGTACGTAATAACAAGACAAAAACTCAAATTTTTAAAATAAAAGATTTATACAGATACTGTGCCAAGAAGATATATGGATGCTAAATAAGCACATGAAAAGATGTTCAACATCATTAGTCATTAGGGAGATGCAGATTTAAACCACAATGAGGCACATAGCCACTAGATTCGTTAAGTAAAAAAGATTGATGGTACTAAGTATACACTGCTGGTGGTGATGTAAACTATGACACCAGTTTGGAAAACAATTTCTCAAAAGGTAAAATATGTACCTCACAGAGGACCCAGCCTTTCCACTTCTAGGTATTTACCAGAAAAGAAAGCACATGTCCACACAAAGATTGTATGCAAAAGTTCATAGCAGTTTTTTTTTTTTAAAGATTTTATTTATTCATCTGAGACACAGAGATAGAGAAAGCATGAGCAGAGGGAGAGGGAGAAGCAGGCTCTCCGCTGAGCCAGGAGCCCAATGTGGGGCTGGATCCCAGGACCCTGAGATCATGACCTGAGCCGAAGGCAGACGCTTAACCATCTGAGCCACCCAGGCGCCCCAGTTCATAGCAGTTTTATTTGTAATAATCAAAACCTGAAAACAGCTCAAATGTCAATCAACAGGCAGATGAATGTACAAGTTGTGGTATATCCGTATGACAGAATACTACTCAGCAAAAAAATATCAAATTATCGATACAATCAATAACATGGATGAGTCTCAAAATGACTCTGTTGAATGAAAGAAGCCAGACCAAAATAAAAGCACACTCTGCATGATTCCATTTCTATAACGTTCTAGTAATTGTAAACTGATTTAAAGCGACAGAAAGCAGATCAATGGTTGCCTGGGGCAGGACTAGGGGTAGGGAGAGAGAGCTTGCAGAGAGAATGAGGAAGTTTTGGGGGCCAATGGATACACTCACTATCTTGATTTGTGATGGTGATTTCTCAGGTGTATATGTACTTCAAACTCAGCAAATTATACCCTTTAAATAAGTGCAGTTTATTGTATGTCAATATAGCTCAATAAAGCTGTTTAAAATCTCTCTCTCACGGCCATTCCTTCTTTTCCGCTCTCACGGAACCACCTATGGTCAGGTCCTTATTATATTTTGCCTGCTCTACAGTTACGCCGTCAGAGTTCTCCCTGCTTAGTACCCTCCAATCAACCCATTCTTTGATGCTAAAAATAATAAAAAAAAAATCCAGCTAGAACATACCAACTTCTGCTC